AGTATTTTAACTGTTTATGTATGTCAGTCATCAACTTAAATATATAACAATTGGTTGTCATTGTTATTATATAATTATTTTTTCCTTATAATTTTTTGCCTAAAGCATTTAGCTTTCCCTTAAAATGTTGAATTGGTAGTAAAAATGCGCGAAACTTTGAAAGACGATTATTAAATTTGGAAAGCAAAAAAAGGGATTTACATATTTACTAAATAATAAATTTAATATGGTAAAAGTGAACAATTTTCAAAGATCATTTTAATAAATTTTAAAATTAAAACTATACAAATTCCTTTTAAAGCTAATTTTGGGACTGAGAAAATTTTTAAACACAAAGGAAAGGAAAGCGAAAATATTGCGCAGCTTGAAACTTTATTAGCCAGCTGTTGATTTACTAGAATATTTAGTCTGTATTCTAGTACAAAGAAAAATTTTTAGATATTTCACTTTCCAAATATTTAGTAACATTCCTTTAAAAAAGTTTATGCATTATTAATTTTTGTAAAATCTTTATTTTAAATTTGGATTTATTTAATGTAATTATGGAAGTTTATCCGTACATATCTATTATAAAAACAATAAGTCTGAATATCTTATGTTCTCCAAAAATCGGAAAAAAATATCGAAAACCTTATACATATGACAAACTTTTTCCAGTTCTATACAGATTTATTTACCTACTGAAAATGCGATTGCTAAACTGAAACTGATTTAAACTCTACTATAAATATTTATTATTAAATAAAGCAAATACCCTTCTTTGTATTTAATATTCCCACGAGTCATCATACTGGAACCAAACAATGGAATAATGGGTTTCTTGTCCTCTTAATATATTTTTTACTGTTTTTGTTGTCCCTTCAATTTTCTCCCTCAAATAAAAAGCTTTAAATGCTTGCATATTTAATTTTCTTTCATTTTCCTCATTTTCTCTTACCCCCCCCCCCAAACCAATTCCCATCTTAAAATCTCAGCATTGATAGGCGGACATTTTCTTGCTACCAAAAATTTTGTTCACTTAAATAATCTGCCCATTTTAAGCACGAAATGACAATCTTTGCTTTATTTCCTTTATTTTTTTGGTTCATTTATGCTTTCTAAAATATCTCTATTTCCTTCAAAATTAATAAATTATTCAGAATTTTTACCTTATTTTAAATTTTTATTTTCCTCTTTTAACCTTTTTCTCAACCTAATCGTTTCTTCATTTCTTTCTACATAACAAATTTATTTTTAATATTTTTGCATTATTATTTTTTTAAATATTTTGCTATTTATATTTACAATAAAAATCATATTTTCGAAAAAGATAAGCCTTCTTCGTTCGAGTTCAGATATTTGTGATATTCGGTTTGTTTCGCCTAATCCTAGTCTATTTTAAAGAATGTCTCCTGTTTTTTAAGTGTGAAAATACGTTTACATATTTTGAATTAACTTTTTTTGCTAAAAATTATTTGATAACTAAAAATAATTTATTTAAGAAAAACATTTACTCTACCTATTTTATTAACTATAATTCAAAAAAGTTTTTTTGTCTTTCTTTATTCTGGTTTATTTCAGTGAAAGTTCTTTGTCATTAATTGAGCCAATAATTGGACAAATATTTTTATTTTTACTTTTATATACATAAAAGATGAATAAAAAAAGATTAAAATTTTGATTTTATTTTTTTATTTTAAATTAATAAATAACTAAAAAATAATAATTTATTTTTAATGCCAAATTCCACTCCTTATGGTCACTAAATAAATAAATGGACAATTTTTTTGCTTTTTAGGTTTATGGGTTTTAAAATAGAGGAAAGAAAAGCATTCTTCCGGAAAAGAAATGAGTAGGCAACTAGTTTTTTTAGTATAGTTTTTTGGCCATTGGCTATGGGTTAGGACAAAATGGGGAAATTGAGGTGAAATGCAAGGAAAGTATTAGGTTTTTATTAGTTGAATATTCCATTAAAAAATATTTTTTTAATTATAAAATAATTTTAAAAAATTTTGGTCCACACTTATTTGTATATTAATTAATTTTGTTGCCAACTTTACTCCTATTAGATAAAAGTTATTTGGAATGACTGGCATACATATGTAGGAATTTTAAAAATAAATCCTCCAATGATAAGTCCTTCTACATCGTAGTAGTAGTTTTGCAAAAAATTATTTGATCAAAAATTATTTGATAATAATTATATTCCCTCCCCTCCCTCAGGCACAGGTTGAAACAATAATCGCCTTCATAATTACCATTTCTGATAATTATTAATTACCACAGAAATAAGGTGGAACACTAATTACTTTGGGCAATTACTCAAATAAATAATTATTTTCTAAACCGTTTAAATTTTTTGTCTAGAATTTTTGTAACTTATTCTACATATTCTTTTAATTAAAACTTGAATAATCCCATTTTTTCTTTAATTTATTAAAAATATTTTCGCTTCTGCCATTTATATATTTGTTCTTTTTTTCATTCGCCGCTTTTTTATTCGCTTCATACTCTGATCGGATTAGCTCTTTAAGACGAACAGCCTTGGCCCCCTCATTCTTCCACCAACAACTTTTTCCGCATTTGTTCGTTAATGTGGAAAAGAGAGAAAAAGCATTATGTATAATATAGCTTTTAAATCCCCCCTCAATTCCCGCAATTTTGCAAATCTTAATATATTATATTGGCAGACTTGGCTTTTGAAGTCTCCAACAGAAGGAAAAAATATGTAAAAATAGAGGCCAACACAAGAGAGGGTTTAAAACAGGGCTCTCATTCGTACTTTATTTCAGAGTACAGTACTCTAAAATCGACCTCCGTACTCTCAAAATTGAATTTGTACTTTATTGAGAGTATGTACTTTAAAATCAACATTTTGGATTGAAAATGAAATTGGGGAAGGGATTGGGCAAAAAAGTGAATTTTTTTGTCCTTCGACCTTTGAAATTCTCAAAATTTTCGCCTGCGGCGCTGAAAAAGGAAGAAATTTAGATTCTTGGGCTCCAAATTTCAAAAAATTTTCGCCTGCGGCGCTAAAAAATGAAGAAATTTAGCTTCTTGGGCTCCAAAATTCTCAAAATTTTCGCGCGCGGCGCAAAAAATGAAAATTTTTGGCAGGGTGGTCAGCTTTTCCTTTTCTTTATTTTTTCGGCATTCATAATATTTTAATTGAATTCCTCTAAATATATAAATCTTTTTTAACTTTTACTTTTTGTTTTTAATTTTTTTTATTTTTCCCTTCTAACCTATTTTGTTCTTCTCTAAATAAATCCCCATCTGCCTCTCTAAACTTTTTGTATAATATTCATTCAAAAATTAGCTTATTATTTTAATAATCATTTTTAATTAACTTAAAAATTAAATTTTCTAGTTTAAAAATTCCAATTATAATTAATCCAAAATGTTCTTTCAAAATAAATTAACAACATTCATTATTTTTAAAATTCTTGCTTTTTCCTCCATTGGCGATTTTTATTCTTCCCCAACACAATTTTGTGATCAAACAAGTGAATGTTTGCTCAAAATACGTCGAATGGTACAGGACACAAATCGCTTTTGGTTTGGAGACCAATGGCGATATTATTGTGGACAAAATCAAATAAAAGAGAGGCAAAGACATATGAAGGTGAATTTTAAGAGATTTTAATTGCTTTCTCCAAAAATTTTAATTTAAAAAATATTTTAGCAAAAGCTCTAAAATTTCTCTCCTTCAACATAAATAAGCGAGTAAATTTTAAGCTTTTAAGCATTTTCTTAAATAATTATTTATGATTTTGTGAGCAAAACAAAAACAGATGATTCAAAATTCAGTAAAGACCACCAAACATTTTCTCTATTTTTATTCCTAAACACCATCAATCAAATATATTTACCCTCATTTTATGGGATTTGGGAAACTTTTGGGTATTTATCAATGTGTCACCTCATTGAGAGGAAAAGTGAGAAAAGAAAAAGCAAATAATAAATTGAACACAAGAAGAATAATAAGAATTTTTAATTATAGAATACTCTAGATTGTTTAAATCCAACAGAATTGGCACCATTCACTAGCCTCGGAAACCGTCTTTTTCGAGTTCATACATTCACCCTGGATTATTTGGCCAATTTACGAATTTTTCCACAAATGCATTTTCGACCACGTTCAGGTAAATTTTTTATTACCCAACAACTTACATTATTCCATTCATTTTTTATTATTTGAGGTCATTATCGTGCATGTTCTCACAATTTTGAAGTTAACATCACTGAGGATGATCGTATTTTTGGACTTCCAGGTCATCCCCTCGCACGGCCAATTCCCTCATTCCAAGCTCAGTTACCTCCAAATCTTAATTGGCCTGAATTACATGCAAATCAATCATTGGTTATTTTAATGTTAGACCCAGGATGGGGTCGTTTACTTTATTTGGCTATTGACTTTCCTATAAATACAAAGGTGATTTATAATACATCTCTGGTAAAAAATATTTTACACTAACCCTTATAAATTTAATTTCATTTATTCCGTGATAATTCTATAAACTATCTTCTACGCTATGCTTTTGGGCAAGGTTACTGAGAGTTCCGTTAAAGGAATTGATGTTGAGAGAAATTTTGGGAATTTAAAAGGAAATATTTTTTGGTTTTGAGAGAAATCTTTCTGATGTTATAACTGAGCTAGGCTCTCAGTTAAACCCAATATCTTCAATAGTCAAGGCTTGGAAGCTAATCTCAGCAATAATTTTCGAAATCTGGACAACTAAAGCTTTATGAAAGTCTAAAAATCTCAAACAAATACAAAACAAAATTCAAACAAAATTCTTTATTTACAATACAAAATCCAATGGCAAAAACAAATTTTTACAAAGCAAAAGATATATACAAGTACAACAACAAAGTGAATTTCGGATATGGAACAATCCAAAAGGGGCAAACATATATAGTTGTACAGAAGCATTATTTATCGAAACAAGTATCGAACATCTATCAAGTTGTCTGCCATACACAGCTATCACTACCTCATGTCGACGAGAGAAGAGCACTCATGTCGCAGCAACAGGCACGTCCAGTTTGAAGTCACCAGATGAGCCCGGCGGGAACAGCGCTCTCGCATCAGCAGCATCAGGAGGAACCGTCGTGAAGCAGATTTCGAGGCGATCATCAGCCTTGGGAGGACCGGGCTGTAAATGAGAAAAAAATAATTTTCGTTTACATAAATTGCGGCTGTTTTTACATACCAGCCTGTCGACGGTGATCGTTGCAGCAGAATTGGGCTCCACAAACCCGAAGACCGGATTGACGCGGTAGTGTTCGTTGTTGCTCGATCTCAGCTTGTAGGCGAAGCGTTGCTGAAAAACAAAAGTTTTATTAATGATATGCCGAAAGCGTTTTAAAAGAAAAAAAAGTACCTCAAGGCCAGCGTTGATGAGCTTCAGCGCGACGTTGCCTCCTCCTGCCGGTAGCTGCACACTCGGTGGGTCGACTTGAACTGCCATTGCGATGGTAGAAGCGGCTGATTTGAAGAAGTTGACACTGGTGATTGAAGTGTTGAGTTGGTGAGTTGGAATGGCGGAGTTTTTGCTGGTTTTTATAGTACCATACCATAGATACCTTGAAGGATTACATAATAATTATTTAATTATTTCTTAAAGTTCAACTTCAGTAAAATATTCTCCCCTCCTTTATTTATCTCAAACACTTAATTATGATTTTAAATAGGTTTTGATTGAATTTCAACCTGTTACCAGTTTCCGTCTTCAACACTCTTCTCCTCTTGCAGTTTTAGTTTTTGAGTTGAAAGATCAAAAAGAAACAAAAACGAAAATTCTGAACAAATGGACAAATCAAGGAAACCAAAAACGTGAAAATTTTGATTTGGTCGAATTTATGTTGGAATTGGGACTTGAAAAGAGTTTAATTGGATTAAATTGGGCTGTGATTAGTGCTGATCCATTTTCTATTGAAAAGGAAAGACTTGAAGGATTACATGATAATTGTCATTCACTAATAATTCAAAGTATTTTGAATATTTAAAAATAATTAAATCTTAAAAATAATTAAGAATTAATTACTGATCAACGTTGGCATTTTGTTCAAACTTTTCCAGTTTCAACGGAAATGGATTCTTCCCTCTCTGTTTCATTTATCCAACAAAAGGGCATTTTAAATGCTTGTTGTCATTTTTTAGAGAATAGGTTTGAAAAAAGAAAATTTTAGAAAAATTTAGAGAAAATTTAGAGAGGATAATCAAATCTTTCTCGATCCTCTAGCTGATTTACAAATACCAACAAATGCTCTTCGAAACGGTCTTCCCTCTGTTACATCAATGAGACCCATTGAAATGAGTGGAGAACCTGCTTATCAAAGGGCTTCACGCCATTATATTGGTAGTTTTGAATTCTTGATTAATTCAAATTTCAAATTCTCTTTGACTTTTGTTGTGTGTAAATTATATAAAAAATAATTAATTAAACTATTAAAAATGAGAGAAAATTAAATTTAAAAATTTTTCTCTTAAAGTTTTTCGTGACGAACGTTTTTCACTTATGTTAATTGATCCTAATGGCAAAAAACTTTATTGGTTAATTGTTGATATTTCTGCAGAGGGATTAAATAGCGGAAATTTTGCAGATTCAATAACTGTAGCTAATTATATACCTCCAATACCAGACAAACCTGGAGAATGTTTTTATGCTGTTTTTATGCTTTTTCGGCAACCTAAAGCAGTTGTTGAGCCTTTGGCTGATTTTTATGATTTTAATCATCCATTGAGGCAAAACGAATGTAAAGAGGAATTATGTGAATATAGGTAGTAAGGGAATAAAAGAGATTTTTTGAAATTAAAATTTAAGAATGGATTTTGATATAGAACAATTTAAAGCAATCCATAGACTACAATTCTCTGCAATTAATTGGGCTAAAATATGTTTTGATTTATTTGAAGCAGCCCGACAAATTTCAATAATTAGGAAGAGACCGGAAATAGCTGAGGGGATTGACAGGACAGCCAAAACAGGAGGAAACAGTAAAGGAATTGATAAAGGAAGAAAAATAGATTTTTGGTAAATATGTATATTAAATTTTTCTAAATTATTTTAATTAATTTTGGAGTCGTAATAAAAATTTTTTAGCAATTCTTAACTAATTTTATTTCTAGGAACTAGATTTCTTTCGTTTAAAAATTACTACAATTTTTTCACCTAGGAAATAATATCTCCTATTTTAGTTCTTATTGTTAAGTTTTTAAAAAAAATATTTAGAGATTTGAAATTGTTTAAAAAAATATTTAGAGATTTGAAATTGTTTAAAAAAATATTTATAATCAAATTTTAATTTAAAAATTCCACTAAAATTTCAGGAATACAAAAACAGACAAAGCACAACAAATAGAAGCAATATGTAAACATTTTCCCGCAAATTTAAACAATAAAAATAATTATCAGTCAGAATGTTTAATAAATGAATATTTAATTACTACAACATCATCAGCTAAAGGGACATTTTCTAAGAATAGAATTTTATTAAATTTAATTGTTATTTTGATGTTTTGGTTATTAATTCAGAGAATAAGAATTGATAGATGAAGTAGAAAAAGAATTTAGATTTTATCTTAATTTGATTTTTTAAATTTATCATTTCTAGATAGCTCTAATTCTTTCAACTTTCTGATACGGGTGTTCTTATATATATTTTTCTTTTTTTTTAATTATGTTATTTATTTTAAAATAAATATGAATTATAAATATAATTATTCTAAAATAATTCAAGTCATGACCTGAATAGTCATGACCTGAAGCTATCAAACGATCGAACATTTTCTAATAAATACTTGTTAGTTATCCATGGTTTTTGTTCAATGGGATGAATCCAGGATGGGACGCGAATCCAAGGTTGAACGAATCCAAGAGCAGCCAAATTTTCTATTGAAACATATTCAAAATTTTCAAAATTATTTCGAAATTTTAAATCATCCGTCATTTCCTGATTTTTGATTTTAATATTAAAATAATATTTTTTGTACATTCACAATTTATTCTTTCATTTCCAGCTGTCTCTGTTCAATCAACCAAATACTAATTTAATTATACGAAAATTGATGAAAAAAGAATAGAGACAAAAGTAGTTTGTCTAAATAGTTGATTTACTTAAAGTAAACACATTTTTTCATTCCTCGCAATTCTGAACAGACATTGATTTGTTAACTTTTTTTAAAGGAAACAATTAATTCTTCTTAACTAAAATGCCATCAGTAAGGCAAAAAATAAAGGATCAATGGGAAATTTTGAGTGATAAAAATGGTTAGTTATTTAATTATTTAGCAGGGATGTGCCGGAACAGATTTCAGAAAGCAAAACGCGAAAGTCCAAAAAACGCGAAAATCCGCGAAAGGCGAAACTGGCACGCCCCTGATATTTAGTATGTTATGTTCGAAAGTTTACCTAAGCTTTAGAAATAAAGGTACAGCTCTTGTTCCCAATTATTTTCTCAGTATTTTTGAAAGGAATCAAACAAAGGGTTTCTGTTTTTTATTTGTGGATAATAATTTCTAGGCATTGTATTTTCTAGGCATTGTATAATTTTAATAAACTCAATGATAATTAATTTAATATAATTTTCACTTTTAGCAATACAATTCAAATGGCCAGGAGATTGCCCTTTAGAAGTTCGAGAATTGGTTGGCCCAGAAAATTTTGACTCATCTAGTCCCAACTATACAATGCCATTCTTTTGGAGAACAGATGCTGTTCTAGCTACCCGAAGCTGGTAATTGGTGATTAGAATAATTGTTAAATTAAGTGTGATTATTTTAAATTTCCAAATGATTTACCAAATATTTAAATGCAAAAAAATAAATTTATTAAACAAATTAATTAATTAAAGGGCATTAATTGTCTGTGCTATAGAATGTGCTTTTGGTCTAATTTGTCTGTTGGTCAATTTACTACATTTTGGTCTTTACTTACCTAGACATTCACCTTCCTCATCTTCTGTAGTTTTCCCATCTACAGTTCTTCTAATTACCCTTTTTCAACTCTGTATTTTCTACTCCTTTAAGGCAAATTTTCAATTAAATTTTTAAAAAATTATTTATTTCCCTCAAAATTTCCAGGTTTTATTTATTTTTGCTATATTTAGAAGTAATTCTCAATTATTACGTATTCAATTAATATTTCAATATGTTACTTGTGTTTTTCTACTTTTAAATGCTTCTTTTAGTTTAGCTGCTGATTTTGGTTAGATTCGACTGTTTTTAATTAAATTTGATTTTTTAAAAGGTGGTTATGATGAGGAAAGAATTTATGCAAAAAGAGACCCTCTTCTAATTCGCTTTTTGGGATTTCTTTCACTTGGATTTTTGTTTGTCCAACTTTATTTACGTTTAATGACAATACCCGTATATAAATTTTTGAGAGATTTAAGAAAGTTTCGTTATGCAATTTATGCATCAAAGTGGAGGTATCGAAAACGTGTTTATTTTACTTATTGTTCTCTAATGATGGATAATTTACTTGCCGAAAGTAAAAAACAGAAAAAGAAAAAGGTAGAATTAAAAAAAATCAGATTAGGCTAGAAAAATAGAACTCGCGTCAAAGACCCCCATTTTCGAGTTTTTTAATCTGTGCTATCGAATTTGATTTCGCAATAATTTGGAAATAATAATTTGGAAATATAAAATAATCACATAATCGAACAATCTCGAGCAGGAGCTTCCGTAACATATCAATTTAAAACAATACAATTAAAGCTCTTCTATTAATATTCCTTTAAGAAGCACGTAGATGGTGATGATCAAACTTTGCTAACGTCAGATGAAAACAGTAGTAGTGGGACACTTTTAAATGTAGTTGTACCTACTTTGACTGGACCAGCAATAAAAGAATCAAAAAAGAAAGAAAAAGAAGAAAAATCAGAAGAATCAAAAGAATCAAATTTATCCCAAGAAAAAGAAGAGATTATTATGGAAAATGGAGGGTTGGAAGCAAAAAAAGAGAAAGATGATGATGAATTATCTTGGCTTGTACCTGAAACGAAGGCTCAGAGAAGAGAGGCAAATTAATTTAAAAATTAGAAAATATCCGGTTATTGTAAGATATTAATGAAGTTAATACTCGATAACATTTACTCCGAGATAAACCTGATAGCTACAAGAAACTATTTCCCTTTTAGATAAGAAAGTCATAGTAGAAATACGGTTTCTCATAAATTTGGCTAAGAATTTCCATTAATAGTTAAAGTTTATTTAAAAATATGCCACAATTTTAATTATATTCTAACATTTATTTAAGGCATTAATTGAAGAAAAAGTAATAGATACAGAAGTACAAGTAGTAGATGAAGGTACTCCAAACACAATTGGATCACCAAATGCTTCTATACATGAAAGATTTTTAGATGAAAGTGAAGTAATTAGGTGTATACAAAAAGAATTAAATAAAAAAGCAATTGAGGAGGGGAAAACAATTGAAAATGAAGAAGAAGAAGAAATTTATGAAGAAGAAAATAATGAGAGAAAGGAATTTAAAAATAATTTTATTGAAGAAAATAAAGAAAAATTAATTAAAATGCCTGGACGTTTAATGAATAAAATATCAAATTATAAAAATGAAAAATATCCTGGAAAAAGTATTAGACAGACTGTTGCTGGCTCTTCAGAGGAAACAGAGTATTTTAATTTTTATTAAATTACTTTAAATTTTGAAATAAAGTCAAGGCTGAAGTAAATTTTTTTAAAAACGGTGATCCTGATCGAAATAATTATTATTATCATAACCAGTCCTCGAGAACTTTAACCGAATTATAGTTAATTATAGTTAAATGTTAATTTATTCATAGTTCATTTTCATTACTAAGAAACAAATTAATTTAAAAGGTAACCAATTTAGAAAGATTTCATGCTTATCAAAATCATTTTTTAGAGCTAAGGGTTAATCGGAATAATATGTCTGAAACCCTTCGAACAATGAATAACCAAAATTTTTTAAAATCAATCAAAAATTAAATATGAATTTTGAAATAAAAACGAGGGACTTCGAATATACCAACAATATATTTAATTATTTTTTAATTTTTAAAATAAATATAAAAAATATTTTTCAGTTCTAGATCAACATATACAGATGAATTACCTACAAATAGCAGAATCCAAGAAGTAAAGTCTCGCTATGTAAATGAAAAACTACTAACTCGACGTCCTTCCCCTAAGAAAATGCCAATAACAATTCAAACAAAGAAAAAACCTGGGGACTTATTTTCGGTAAAAAGAACAGTTAAAGTTCAAGTTGAAATGACTCCAGAAGAATTGGAAAGTTTAATGGGAAGATCACAAGGAACGATAACAACACTTGAATGGGATGTAGAAAATAATAATAAATAATTTTGATTAATTTAAATATTTATTTTTTAATTTTTATTTTTAGAAATTTTAATTTACTATTTGTTTTTATTTTATCAAATATTAAAATAAAATTTTACAAAAAAATTCGTTACAAAATAAAAATTAATATTTATATTTAAAGATTTTTACGTAAGATCATTCATTAAAAAAGCGTTCACTAAAGTGTTCAAGAACCAATTTTTTATTACCAACTTTCTTCTTACTTAAGTAATAAAAACTAAATAATAATTTATTTCAACAATTTTGGGAGAATATTTTTTATTAAATATTGGCAATTAGTATAATTTTTATTGGAAAATTTGTGCACACAAATTTATTTAGAGAATATTTTTGGTTAAAATTTATTATTTTTTTGGTTAATTTTTTTAATTAGCCGATAATATATAAAATTACTAATATATTTATATACTATGTAGTATAATCTCAAAATTAATTTAATATTTTTTCATAAAAAAACAATTTTCATCAGTTTATTAATTCTATTTTAATTTTTTTAAAATTACAAACTATACATTTACATACATATGTATTTAATGTAAATATCAATACAGTACTAAATTTTAATTCTTATTTAATGATAATTTATTTGTTTTTGAAAATGAATGTGAAAGAAAGAATTTTATTTTTTAAATTATTTTAGAAGGATATTAAATAGAAAATTGAAAATTTATAAAGAGAATTTTCTAAACGTTTTTTTATTCTTAAATTTAAAAAATGGATCGAAATAGGGGATCGACATGATTGCGGATGTGGAGTGGATTTTTAAAATCGAATTGCTTCGTTTGCATAAAATTTTTTGTTAAACCGAACTTTGATTTTAATTAGTTGTAATTAATCTAAAATTTATTTACTTCATTTAATCATCTAAAAAATTGAAAGTCATAAAATTAACCAGAAACCCCAAATAATTTAAATAATAATTTAAAAATAAAAGTATATATTTTAAATAGTTTGTATTTTGTATTAATAAAAGAAACAAACTACACATTGAAAGTGATAAGAAATGTCTCCCTCGCCCTGTTAAAATTTTTAAATAAAAGGCTGGAAATGTTCACAAATTTTTTATTAAAATAATTTTTTGATTAATTAAATTCTGACAACCTTCCTTCGAATATTAAAATGCAGATAGCTTTATTATTTATTATTTTTACCTCTATTTTAATGGTTAATATTGAAAAAGTTGAATGTAAGTAAATAATTATTAAGATAGTTAAAAATTATTTGAAAAAAATTATGGGATTATTTAACAAATTTATTTCTGAATATATATTTTTAAATTTTTATTTAATCTTTGGCACAAAAATTTTCCCTTTTAAGGAATATAAATTATAATCTAACATTATTTCCCTAATAATAGTCCTAAATCCACAATTTTGACAAAAACATTTTTAACATTAATCCTAGATTCTTGACAAGAGGAAAATAAAATAATTAACTAAATTTATATTTTTATTTAAATTATTTTTACAGCATTTAAAATCCTTGTTTCTGTTTCAAACTATTTTCATAGCCATATGAAATTACATATTGATATTGCTGATTTATTAGCCGAAAATGGGCATGAAGTTGTAAGTTTATAATTCCAAAAATAAAGTAATTCCTTTTGTTTTATTTTAAAGACTCTTTTAATTACAAATTTAAATCCTTACAATAATTATCCCCCTACAAACAACACAAAATGGACAAAAAGTCAAAATGTTATAAGACAATCAGCTAAAGGGGAATATCTACAAAAATTAAAAGATTCTTTTGACCGTTCTCCCTTTTATGATAGCCATGTTTGGACAGAAGAATTGGAAATTTATAGCGAGAAAAATGAATTATTTGTTAAAGAATTGTTTTTTGTTGGATGTATAGGTATAATATAAAAATTCGAAATAATTATTATTTAAATGGTTAAATATTTTAATTTATTTTTGGATAAAATAAATCTAAGTATTAATAGAGTTAAAAATTAATTAAAATTTCATTTTTATAAAATTTATTTTTTTCCTTTTTTAGCATTTTATGAAGACAAAGAACTTCTTGCTTCACTTAAATCACAAAATTTTGATCTTGGAATTACTGAATGGCATGATGGCTGCATGTTTTCAATGTTTAATCATTTGGGAATACATGCTACTGTCGCAACAAGTCCTATTCCTATGGATTTAGTTCAAGCTAAAATACTTGGAATTCCAATGCCCTTGTATATTCCAGGTTATTAGAAATTTTTAAAAATATTTTTTCATTAATTTCATATTTTGGATTAACGATATAATTCCGTAAAGATCATTTGAATAGAAAGTACGTACCAAACTGGTCATATTCTGAAAGCATAGTATTTTTTATTATTGGTATAGTTGACGGACACTAGAATTAAATAGTTCACTCAAATAATAGTTCACCTAATAAATAACCTTAAAATTTAATTCAGAAGTTAACACTGCTCCGCCTGAAGGAACTTCAATGGGTATTTGGGACAGAGCTCGAACTTTATACAATCGAATAGAAAACAAAGCTGAAAAATTTTTCTCAATGGACGATTGGTGTAAAGAAATATTTGGCCAAAATTTAATTCCAAAAAATGAATTATTATTGAGATCAGCATTCTTTTTAATTAATACACATGAAATGCTTGATTTAGCTAAACCAATTAGTGCTAAAATTAAACATATTGGTTTGTAGTTAAAAATAAATTTTGAAATTATATTTCTGCTTATGTCTCCTTAAGGTCATTCATTGCTCGATAGACATATAAAATAAATTAAAATTTTGTTTTCTAAAATTAGAATTTAGGCGGTTTTACTTTACAAAAGAATACACAAAAAATTCAATTGGATTCCAAAACAGAATTTCTCTTAACTTCAAGTAGCAAAGGTGCAATTCTTGTTTCTTTCGGTTCTGTGGCTGATCCGAGTCAAATGCCAAAAGAAATGTTTAATAATTTAATGAATGCTTTTGCTTCTTTTCCAGAATATAATTTTATATTAAAATCTAATGATAATGGAGAGAAATTAATTAAAAATGAGTCAAGTATTTCATTAAATAAAAATGAATATAATTTGCCTGAAAATGTTTACAAATCTGGATGGGTGAAGCAAAGGGCTATTTTGGGTAAGAAATTAAGCAAAATATTATAGCGAAAATATTATAGCCAAATGTCGATGGCCATAGTGTTTATCGAGTTCTGTGTT